GTCGGTTTGCCACATCCGGATAAATGTGGAATTTGGTGAGTGGTAATGGCTATAAGTCTAAATCCACCAGGGGTACTTCTCAAAAGTGGAGTATCCCAGCTTAATTGTAGTGTAGTTGGTAGAAAAATCCCGACTACTCGTGCTTCTTACTACCCGGAGGGCTTGGAATCCCTTTTAGGGGGTGTGCACACTTAAGGTACGAGTTCGGCTTCCACTGGACTTTGAATGAATTGGTTTTGAGGATTTGAGGTGAATATTATTTGATTGGATTGAACTTGAGGTGAATTTGAATTATTGGATTGATTGAGATTTGGATTGGATTATATTTGGATGAATTTGAGTTGGATTGAATTATTAAATTATTTATAAATTTTTAGAGTACAAATACTTTTGGATTTGACTTGGTTTGATTATGTTGAATACCCTTTATAAGTATTTATAAGTATTTTCAGATAACTATTTGGAGTTTGACTTATGCTTTGGAATTATTGTAATGATTTTTGGTGGTTTTATGTATATTTGGCATTTTTGTAATGATTGTGGTTTGGAAATATTTACCTATAATTGAAGTACTATTATTTTACTAGTGAATCTTCTTATGAGAAGATTTTATAAATTGTTTTTCCTCCTAAATGTTTTTCAAAAATATTAAATTATATTATTTTATGGGGTTAGGTGGAACTTACTTAGCATTGTTGCTAATTTTTGTTTTCTTTTGTTTTTCTTTCTATACTTGATTTTGTACAGGTGATGATTTGATCCTGTTGAAGTTGATTTCGAGAGAGAGCGTCCGCTAGAAAACATAATTAGTAAATCATTGTAATTTCATTTTCAATATCTTTAGTTAGTAAATAATTGTTTTTTGAAGTTTAAGTTGTTTTAGCCTGTGCACTCGGTTATGGGAGAACCGAGTGTGGCGGTAACACTCCTATTTCCCTTTTGATTTCCGCTGCAAAACTCTAATGTTTTCAAATAAGATTAATAATAAAGTATTATTTCAAAGTCTTTTTGGGTAGGAAATTTGGGGTGTTACAAATTGGCCTTCATGTGGCCCACATATGAAGCACCATGGGGGTGTATTGTACTTCCCAAAGTGTTGCTTCAAACAGTTTGCACACTGAGGTGGCCCCGAATTGTGAGGCCCATACGAATGCCATCTAGAGCCCATGCTCTTCTTCACCGATGGTACTGGTGCCCTGTATGACCCACCTCCCCTGCGGTTGTTCCTCCAAGAATGATCTGGTGGTCCCGAACTATTCCACTTCCTCTTATTCGCCTCCTCAACGTCTTTTGCCTTTCTCTCATTCCATTTGGTTTCCCCAAGAAGGTCTTACTCCACCACCTCACTAAAAGTCATGTGGTGTGTATACGTAGCCCAATCACGGATATCCAAGTGTAAGGCATCTCAAAAGTGCTCAGTCATGCGGTCCCCATCGGCCGCATACTCCAGTAAAAACGGAACCAAGGTTCTAAACTACTACTCTAACTGTTTTACTATGCACCCTTTCTTTTTCCTGAGGTTGATATACTCCTGCCTATTCTTGTTAACTTCAAAGGCGGAGTAGTATTGAGCATAGAACTCCTGCTCAAAGTTTTCCCACGAAACAGCTTCGCAGTATTTTCCTTCTACACTATCCCACAATGTAGAATTCACCCCCTCAAGCAATCGTGAAACAACATGTGGCTTCACGTCGGGCATGATTTGCATATCTCTTGTTGCATCCTTAAGCTTCTTAATCCAATCGGCGGCAATGGTAATGTCTCTGGTGCCGTCGAAGGATTTACACTCCAAGGCTCTAGCTTCTTTGAGGCACTAGGAGATTCTAACACAGAAATCTCCCTCACGCCCTCCTTGGGACGTTTCCGACGCGACCTTAGAAGATCCCAACTTCCATGAACCGACTCTCCTTGAAAGGCACGCCTAGCTTGGCGTCTAGTCTCCCTCCTTTGTCGCTCCCTTTGGTACCATTCGAGTACCTCTATCTCCCATTTGTTCAAAATGGGCATCATCGTCTTCGTCATCGGAGTTGAAATCACCCCATCATATGAGGTCTCGTCATGACCCGTCTCATCGGAGTTGAAATCACCCCATTTGAGTCATCCTCCTCGGTGATCGTCGCCATGTGTCACCCCTCCATTTGCCAAAGAAGATTTAGGTGGTGTTTGGAACTGATGCAGCTTCTACTTCTTTTTCAAAGCAGAAGCAGAATCATTTTTCAGAAGCTGGTCTAGGAGTAAATTAGAGCACCATAATGACTTCTGCACTTTCTCCCAAACACTTCAGCTTCGGCTTCCATCTCAAGTGTCTTAATACAAGCTGATATTGATCAATTAGATTCTTTAGATCATGCACTATAATTGGTTTCTGTTGAGGATGTTCAATGCTTTGTGTAAAATAAAGAATCCAGCCTCAAATCTATATCTAAATTGGATAACACTCCAATTGGATAAGACTCCAATTGGATAACACTCTGAGGAATGTTGTTGTGATTCATGATACTTCATATGGCACATTAACTTTTGAAACCAAGGAGATAGATGTGGCAGACATCCTTGAAACTACTCCTTTTCGAGTTTCTTTTTCTCCTCACACCGAACCAATATTAGTGGATGGATTGGCTTCTGTTCAATTGGAGCCTCATACTTCGGGCAGAAAAGATCTTGAAATTACTCTTGTTCAAAAGATACTTTCTGATCGTGAGCTACTAGACTGTGTTGCTGACACTGAATGAGACTCATCCAATTCTAGATTGTTACCTCGACGGAGTGCTCGTCTCAAGGCTAAAAAATTGACTGAAACATGGGGTCGCTTTCGGATATTTTGGGGATATCATCTCTGTCGGGCAATTCAATTCGAAACGGGGCTAATCGTCTTACTTTGGGGATCTGCAGGGCCTTTTTGGATTTTCAATTATTAGCGTTTTGTTTCTTTTTTCAAAAAAAAAAAAATACTTGCCCGTAGCACACCCAATTAATTGTCTGTGTGCACAGACAATATTACTACACAAACAATATTTATGCGGCTCACAGAAAATAGTTGTCTGTGAGTTATACTTTAGTTGTCTTTGTGTTCAATTCTAATTGTCCGGGTGAACAAAAAATTTCATTGTCTAATACTTTCAAATGAATGATGTAGTTGTAAGTACGTGAGACCAATTTATATGTAATTTGATTTAAACAAAAAAGTAATATAAATAAATGAAATAAGATAAATAAAATGATTTTGTGCAAGTAATGGAAAATATTTGATATAAGAAGGTAGAGAAAAAGAGGATAAAGAAGAGAAGAAGTAAAGAAAATCATTCATAGTTTTTGGAATTTTCGAATGAGTTAGGTAAAGAGGAAAGAGAGAAGGCAAGAGAGGGGAAAAAGAGAAGGGAGAGAGAAGAAGGGGGGGATGTATTATTTTTTTGTTGCTTTTATAGTGTGTACAAGTTGTGTACATCAACTATTTTTCATATTCATTTTCTTTATTACGGAATATAATTTACATTCAATCAATTATTTTAGCTAATACAAAGTATATGACAAAACATTTTTACTTCAAAAAAACCAAGGGCCTGTTTACTAACAGAGATATTTTCCAGTTTTCCAGAAAATTGGAAAACTGGAAAATAAAAAACAGGAAACGTGTTTACCAAAGAAATTGCTAGAAAACTGGAAGGAAAAAAGAAAAACGTGTTTACCAAATCGTTTTCCAAAACGAAAAAAATGAGACATGTCTCTCTTTTCCTTAATGATTTGGAGAAGTGACTTTTACTAGTTTTCCAAATTTGGAAAATGCAGATGCTACAGTGCCGCTGCAATGAATTTGCATACTTACAGCTAGTGGTGGGTCTGGTCCCGCTCCGATGTGGATTCCATTCTGGTACCTCCATCCTCGTACCTTACCCCTACCCTACCCTACCCTATATTACCCACCCTACCCCCACCCCGCATACCCCATTTTTCCCTATAATGACCCTACCTCACCTCCTACCACATGCCCCTACCTCGGCCCCACCCCGATCCACCCTATCCTAACCGCCACCCCCCTACCACCTCGACCCCACCCCTTGTATATTATCCCTTACCCCTAACCACATGCCCCCTACATCGTCCCCACCTCACCGCCATCCTACCCCCACCCCACCCTTCCTTTACCTCGGCCCCACCCAGATCCCGGGCCCACCTTACAGCCATTCTATCCCAACTCCCTACCCTACCCTACCCCTACCTTACCCCAACCCCAACCCTACCCACTACCCCACCCTTACCACCATCCTACCCCCACCGCCATCCTACCCGCCACCCTACCCCTTCCCTATCTCGGCCCCACCTTACCGCCATCCTATCCCAACTTCCTACCCTACCCCTACCTTACCCCAACCCTACCCACTACCCACCCTTACCTCTAACCACGACCCTAACCCACTCACTACCCCCACCCAACCCCCTACCCCCAGACCTTACCACCCCACCTCAACCATACCCCTTACCCCACCCCGTCCATAACTTCCCTACCCCGACCCCTACGAGTAGGTATGAGTGGGTATGAAGGGTTGTGGGGGAGTATGGGTAGAGTGCAAGATCGTGGTAAGGGTAGGGGTAGGTGTCAAGGGTGTGGAATTGGAGAACTGAGTGAAAAAATTGATGAACATGTTTTCAGATTTGGAAATGGAAAACTAAAAAATAGAAACATAAAATTGGAGATAGAAAAACTGAAAAATAAAAACAAAAAATTGGAGAACAAAAAACAGAAGTAAAAAACAAGAAAATATCTCTATTAGTAAACGGGCCCTAATATTTTCTACTTTGTTTTAGCCATTTCAAGTTTTCAACCGTTAACAAAGAGGCCCAATACTTTGTTTATTTTTCCTTCGGATTTTATTTACTTCATTTTTCTTTCTCAAATTTTATATGGGATGTCCGTACTCTGACAACGACTACTGAAGGATTGTGGCACATGCCTCCTGTCAAATCAGACGCCATCAACGGCTTTGATCATTAGTACGGTGTCATCAACGTCTGATGCTCCTCGATACTGCAGTGTTCTCTCTCTTTCATCGGTCATTGCATTCTCTCTCTACTGCAATCTGGTCGAGCTTGGTGGGGTGGTCTAATAAAGAAAAGAAAGAACCCCCTTTCTCTCTCCTTAAACGTCAGTACGGAAAGCGATTGCCCACAAAGAAGGTTGAGTTTAGCTGCGAGAATCAGTCAAGCGTAGCCACTCCAAGACTTGCTCTTCTCAATCCGCCCCTCCCGCTTCCTGTTTTTATCCCCTCATGGAAGTTTCGGAAAAGGAAGAGTGGACTTAGCTGGGTTGATCATTTGTTTGGCGATTTGACAGGCGCTGATTGCGAGCTGGAATTGAGCTTTGTTTTTGCCTTCTTTGGGCGGTCCATAGATTTGGGTATGGAGTAAGGATGGGGTTGGGCAATGGGTCTAGGGTTTGATGAGTTGGACTTGAAGTGGATATAATTGTAAGTATGGTTTGATCAAGTACGGAGCATAAACTAATGAACGCTGACAGACAATAAATATACTATAGAGATAAAAAAAATATGAAGCTTTCAACACCAGGGACGGGTCAGCAAGCTCATGAAGGTATATTAGCATTTCATGCATTCTTCAACTTCACATTTCTTTATTATATACTTGTGCTCAATCTTTTTAAATCCCCAAAATAAATTACCACTCATGTTCAAAGTGGGAATTTATTACTACGTACTAGCCAATAGTATATAAAAGAAGGCAACATGTGAATTAGATGAATTATGCTGCTGATTGTATCTTTCTTTGTTGGTCCTAAACTATGAAAGGAGATAATATGTGCTCCAATTCAGAGCTATGGCATGCCTGTGCTGGTCCTCTTGTGTGTCTTCCGGTACTTGGGAGCCGTGTGGTTTACTTTCCACAGGGTCATAGTGAACAGGTTCCATTACTTTCTTGTTCACAATTACTAATGCAGGGATTAAGGAATGCATTATTACTATCACTATGTAGTTTAAGCTAATTAATTTATTTAGATAATAGTAACTGATGGTTTTGTTTGGAATTTGAATTGCCAGGTTGTGGCCACAACTAACAAAGAAGTTGTCGATGCTCATATACCAAACTATCCCAACCTTTCTCCTCAGTTAATCTGCCAGCTCCATAATGTCACTATGCATGTACGTCCTGTACACATTGTGTGGCGCATTTTGTTATCTCTTTAGGGTATCTTAGGGTATGTTTGGGAGTTATGTTTTAGAGAGGGGAAAAGGTGAGGCCTCCCTTTCTTTTTTGGGAGTTTAAAATGGAGAGGAATGGTTTTGGAGGGTTTTTGTGACCTTCCAAAATCCCTCAAATGCTCAATTTTATAATCCCCAAATTGAGGATTTTTGAAGGATTATTAATTAAATGATTACTTAAGCTCAATTTTAAATGAATATTAGTTCAACTATTTGAATTAGTCATATCTAAGAAGTGATTTTAATTATAATTCCTTCTAAGACTCTTTTTCCAAATTTACTACTCTCAAATAAGAAGAAGAGAAGGGTTTCCTCACTTTCCCCTCCCTTTCCCCTCCGACAATTTACCTTCAAAGCCCCCCCAACTCCCAAACATACCCTAATTTGTTGGAGGGGGAAAGGGAGGGGAACATGAGTAAACCCTTCTTCTTATGTGGGAGTAGTAAATTTGGAAAAAGAGAGCCTTAAAACGAATTGTGATTAAAATCACTTTTGAGGTATGGTGAATTCAAATAGTTGAACAAATATTCATTTTGAATTGAGCTTAAATCATCGTTTAGTTAGTCATCCTTCAAAACCCCTAATTTTGGAGCAACTTAAAAATTGAGCATTTGAGGGGTTTTGGAGGCTCACAAAAACCTTCCAAACCATTCCTCCACATTTTTTAAACTCCCAAACACAAATAGGAGGACCATCAACCCTCACATGTATTCCCTTCCCAAAAAACCAACTCCCAAACACACCCTTAGGGTCCGTTTTGATGTAGGGTTTTGGGAGGACAATGCTTTGGAGGGTTACTCTTTATCTTGAGATGTATTTGATGTTTTACAATGTCTTGAGATGTATATATAAAATCCTTTATCTGATCATTGTATATCATTTGAATAACCTTTATTTGTTTTCCGAAACATTATATTCATAAGATATCGACTAATCCTTCTAAAACCTTCCATCCAAACTGACCCTTATGAATGGATTTCGTTTTTTGCTTTACTCATAGACTTAAGGTGGAATTGTTAATTTGTGGAATTTCAGGCAGACGTTGAAACAGATGAAGTGTATGCTCAAATGACATTGCAGCCACTAACTCAAGTAAAGCCTTTACATTTCATTTTTTGTTGTTAGCTAGAAAGGATACACGACTCTTCATTTTTTAGATTACAGATTGATATGTGAGTTTATTATTTATATTTCTCAGCAAGAACAAAAAGATACTTCATACCTTTCTGTTGAGTTGGGGATGTCAAGCAGGCAACCTACTAATTACTTCTGCAAGACACTGACAGCAAGCGACACTAGCACACATGGTGGCTTCTCAGTCCCCCGCCGAGCTGCGGAAAAAGTTTTTCCGCCCCTGGTAGTCTTTTGTGTGTGTATGTCATATTCTTCTTTACACAAGTTAGTTTATTCTAACAGCCTGATGGAATTTTTGTCTGTATTGTTTCCTTCAGGATTTCACACAGACTCCACCTGCCCAAGAACTCATTGCAAGGGATCTACACAACGTTGATTGGAAGTTCAGGCATATTTTCCGAGGTCACTTCTAGAGTTAACTTATTCTGGGAGAGGGATATATACTGAACATTTATATCTTAGTTCTGTTATTTGAAGTATTCTAAATTGTACCCTGTAAGGCTGTAATATAAACCATTGTGGAATGTAATCGTCCCGAGGAGAGGTATTTAGTATCTTGATTTGAAGTTCTCTCAGAACTTGGATCCCAAATCCCAATACACTCTTTGCTTTATGAAAATTAGATAAGATAGCTCAATTATTACCTTAGTGCAGGTGGTCACAATCCAAGTGGTAAGACATCTCTCCCCATTGCAGGATGTCACAAGTTCAAATCTATGCACCCACTCACGTAAACCCCTCTTGTGGCCCTTTAATCAACTCCTGTACAAGGGAAAATTTAGACATGTACAAACAGAGTTAGTTTTGCCAGTACCATCATTGATTTATGCCACAGAGTTTATCTGATACTCTGTACCAAAATTGCTGATAAGTCCTAAGACGCTGTCTTAATACTTGCTATATTTAAAAAATTTACAGTGCATGGTATATGTGAACAGTAAGATGAGGTGGAGTCCTAGTTTACAGATTACTTTTGCAGTTTTGCCTCGTCTACTATAACCTTTACCCTCTCTTTTACCCTCGGGAGTTAATTTTTATTTTCCTTTGCAATCAGAAATTTATTTTTCGCTCTGATTCTTCATTACCTTTTCATAATGGCTGGCTGCTGCTGGTAGATGAGGTAGGCTCCAAATTGATGCCTACTACCTGAAATCAGGCCTACTGCCAACGAGCTGCAGTCTTAGTCATTTCTAAGAATTTCACATCTACCCTTGCGATTAAATATTTATAAATGATTGAAATGCGTATATATGACCTCCCTTTTCACACTGTCTTTGACTCATTGTGCTTACGCAGGGCAGCCAAAGCGACATCTTCTTACTACTGGATGGAGCGTGTTTGTGAGCTCCAAAAGGCTTGTTGCTGGAGATTCGGTTCTTTTCATCTGGTACATCTTTTTCTATTGCCACTGTTTGGGTTTTGTTGAATAATAAACCACTACATTTATTGATGCAACTTTAAGGGCCCATTCGGTACCGTGGTGAGTTTTCAGTTTCCTTTTTATAATTTTAAAAGGTATATGAAATATGTTGTTTATATTGAGCTAATATAAAATCATACCTATATTAAACATAGAGATTTAGCGTACTGGTTAAGATGTTTCTGTGTGACCGAGTGGTCACGAGTTCAAGTCTTGGGATCCGACTCTTGTCAAAATTTGACACGGGAAGGCTTGCCCCTTGTACACCCTTGCGGTGGGACCCTTCCTCGGATCCTCATATTAAAGATGTTAATTTTGAAGGCCACAAAAAGATGAAAACAATTTTTTTCTGGTTTTCAGATTTTTATATTTATATCTTCTTTATATTTCTATGATCTTATGTTATTTTTATACTTCCTCCGTTCTTTTTTAGTTGCAACAGTCAACATTTCACACTTGCGAACGCACATCTTTGACCGTAATTATATCTTAATCCCTATTAGTAAAAAAAATATTTAAAAATTAGATTTTGAAAATTTGTAATGAGATGAATTGAACAATATAATTTAAAAATAATAATTTTCATAAAATAATAATATAAAATCTAGTTAAAGTAGAACATGTGAATAGTGTAAAATTCAACATGTTGCGATTAAAAAGAGACAGAGGATAGTATCTCTTATGCTCTAATTTTTTTTTTTTATCTTTTTTGTTCTTATGTTATTTTATCTTATACTCCGTATTTATCTTTATCTTATTCATTTTATCTTACTTTATCTTCTTTATATTTCTATGTTCTTATGTTATTTTTATGTTTCTTATGCTCTTTTTTTACCTTTATGTGTCTGATGTTCTTTTTATGTTATTTTTATCTTATATTTTTCTTTATCTTATTCATTTTATCTTACTTATCTTTTTATTCTTTTTATCTTTCTTCTCTTTTTGGCTTTCATGTCATGGATCGATTCATGTTAGCTGACCCCAAAATCTTTTTGGAATATGGCTTGGTTGTTGTTGTTGTTCAGTTTTTTTAGTTTAAAAAAGCAGAAAACAGAAAACAAACAAAATACTGAACAAGGCTTGAACTAACTTACAACTTCATAATTTGTTGAGTGTATCACAATGCTTATATAGAGAAATAATGGAACTAAACCAGGTAAGAATAGAAACCTGTAATTTAACTAAAACTATAGTAACTATATTTCTTACTAAAGTCTAAAACTATAATACTACTAGCACTGTGATAAGTATGTTACTACTTTAACAGTTTAAGTGTTTGTACATTTCAGTATCTGACCTTTGGTATCTCTTTTCTCTATACTATGGGGTACATTATGGTCTTCCAATGACTATTGCGATAGGAATGAGAAAAATCAGCTGCATTTGGGCATTCGCCGTGCAATCAGACCACAAGCTATCATGCCATCATCTGTTTTGTCAAGTGACAGTATGCACATTGGACTGCTTGCAGCTGCTGCCCATGCTGCTGCTACTAATAGCTGTTTCACTGTTTTCTATAATCCGAGGTAGGGAAGTTTGTTGTATTATTTCCCTTAATATACTTTTATTAACTGTTAAAATCTTACACTACTTGATTCAGGGCTAGCCCATCTGAATTTGTCATACCTCTCTCGAAATACATCAAAGCTGTGTGCCACACCAATGTTTCTGTAGGCATGCGTTTCCGGATGCTATTTGAAACGGAAGAATCAAGCGTCCGTAGGTACTTTATTGGCGTGAACTATCAACTATTCCTTACCATGATTAAGAATGGGCAGAAATACAATATATTGTGTGCTTATGATTTGTTACTCCCTTCGTCCCACTATAATTTTCCCATTTTTCCTTTTCTGTCCGTCCCACTAAATTTGTCCCATACCATATTTGGTAATATTTGTGTGACTCTAATTAATTCTTACTTTATTCCCACCTTATCAATTCATTATCAACCACATAACTCTACTTTTCTTAAAAACGGCACCACTCTCCTTTGTCCTAATCTTAGGGAGGCGGAGGTAGTATTATATTTAGAGAAAAGTATGGAAAATGTACCTCTGGTTGGACGCGTTTTTAGATAGGGGCCTGTGTTTAATTTCTTAAAAAAGTAGTTCATATGTTTTAATTACGTTAATAGTAAAGGGGTCTATCGCTTAACATCGTTAGAAATCGCCGGAGGAAGAGGACGAACAGTAACTCTGATTTTCAGAGGTACTCGGAAAATTAAAAGAAAAATACAGGGAGGTGCGCTTCGTCAAGACAACCTCCAAACCATCTTTCCTTTTTGGATTTTTCCGGCTCTGTTTGGATTTTTTTTTTAAATTCTGTAATATCACTTTTATGGTAGACTTTTCGGCGACAAAGGTGACACAAAACAAAAAAGAAAGATGGTCTAGAGGTCGCCTTGATGAGAAGCACCTCCCTATAATTTTCATTTAATCTTCCGGACACTTATGTAAATTGCATTTACTGTTCATCGCCTTACTCCAGCAATTTCTAATGGCATTAGGCACTGAACCCCTCAACTGATAATGGAATTAAAACATATGGACTACTTTGTTAAGAAATGAAACACGTGCCCCTATGGACTTATTTGAAAAGAGCCTAACCAAAGGTACATTTTTCGCACTTTTCCCTTATATTTATTAGTGATGTAGGTACTAGGGCTGTTAACGAGCCGAGCCGAGCCGAGCCTGAACACCCAAAGCTTGAGTTCGGCTCGATAAAGAATTAATAATGTTCGGATTCGAGCTTGAAGCTCTGCGAGCTTTACAAATGAGACTCGTGTTTGGCTCGATAGGCGTTCGATGTTGAACCGAGCGCTCGATAAGCTCGATAAATATGCTCGAATTTAAAATTTTAGGTGATGCTAGTTTATAGGCTCGTGCTCAAATGATTCGACAAGTACTCGGTTCGTCAATAATCATATTTAAATTCATAAAATCATACAATTTATATTTAAATTTTGACAAATATATAAATTATATTTATAATTTCAGGGTGTTCGATAGGCTCGAGTTCGAACCGAGCCAAATCCTACAATGTTCAAGCTCAGCTCGATTAATTTTTCGAACTTAAAACTCAGCATGAGTTCGAGTTCAAAAGCTCGTTAAGCTTGGCTCGTTAGGTTTGAAACCGAGCTCGAACTCGAATAGTTCGATAAAAGCTTGGTTCGTTAACAGCCCTAGTAGGTACTGCATGGTACTTGGTAGCCATTTGTACATTTAGATTTTGGATATCAGTCTTACTACAAGTGTTAAAAACCATGCACATTATTGGAATAGGTTTAGCTTCATTTTGATGATGCAAGAAAAATATCCGTTTTGTTTTTTTTCCCTCTTTGCCTTTTGATTTCCTTGCCATGTTTGATATGCTTAATGCTTTCAACTGATTGGATAAATATGTACTTCATCTAGCTTAGGTTATACACGAAAGCCAATGTTTTTGGACACATACTTTGGGAATACTCAGTTTATTTGGTTTACAATGAATGTTTGTTGAAATAAAAGAATTGGATCTTACGTGTGGGAGCTCACCTTTCTCAGATACATGGGAACTATTACTGGCATTGGCGACTTGGATGCAGCTCGTTGGTCAAAATCACACTGGCGATCTGTCAAGGTGAATGAGTTCACTTTTTTTTTGTATGCAATCATGGACGGATCCCGGATTTCGAGTCAAGGGGGGCGAATTTTTTTCATTAGTGTAGGGAGTGAAAAAAATTTCGTTGTTAAGCGGGATGGGAAAAAATTTGTTAGTGTAGCGGAGCGAAATTTTTTCACTAGTGTAGGCTTTGCGGCTAATTTTTATTCAAAGAGTTCCATTAGTACATACTAAATACACGATGACATATTGACATTTATATCTATTATTATATTCCAATTCTAATTTTAGACTGTTGAAATATAAACTAGAATAATATTTAAGATGAAGAGAATGATTTTCTGTGTATTTCATTGAAGGGTAAAGCCCTATAAATATAGATTACAAAGATAGAATATTCCTATAAAAGATGCTATACAATAATACTATATATGGTATATTCCTAATATATTGATTATATTCTAAAGCATATTCTAAAGTATATTCTAATATACTTTCACACTCCCCCTCAAGTTGGAGCATAGATATTTATCATGCCCAACTTGTTACATAAATAACCAACTCGAATTCCATTTAATGTTTTAGTGAACAAATCTCCAAGTTGTTCCCCAGTCTTCACATCATATCCTGTAGAGATCAATCCTTTTTGTATCTTCTCTCGAATAAAATGACATTCGACCTCAATATGCTTTGTTCTCTCATGAAATACATGATTGTTTGCTATGTGTATAGCAGCTTGGTTTTCACACCACAATTTAGCAGGCATTGATGTCTTCAGTCCGAGCTCGGTCAATAAATGGCTTATCCATATGATCTCACATGCAAATTGTGCCATAGCTCGATATTCTGATTCGGCACTCGAATGAGAAACCACATTCTGCTTCTTACTCTTCCAAGATACAAGATTACCACCAACAAAGACACAATAACCAGATGTAGATCTTCGATCATCTTTAGAACCGGCCCAATCAGCATCTGCAAAACATTCTATTCTCATGTGATCATGGTTTTGATAAACAATACCTCGTCCTAGTGCACCCTTTAAGTAACATAATATGTGTTCTACTGCAACCCAATGATCAATGGTTGGAGATGACATGTATTGACTCACTACACTCACAGAATAGACAATATCTGGACGAGTTACTGCGAGATAATTAAGCTTTCCAACCAGTCTTCTATATCTTTCTGGGTTTTCAAACGGTGTGCCTTCTTGAGTGAGTTGGACGTTGGGAGCCATGGGTGTTGTACTTGGTTTTGCCCCTAATTTCCCTGTCTCAGCTAGTAAGTCAAGTACATATTTACGTTGAGATAGAAATATGCCTTTCTTACTTCGTGTTACCTCAATTCCCAGAAAGTATTTCAAAGAGCCAAGATCTTTTGTCTGGAATTGACTATGCAGAAAATTCTTAAGGGCCAAAATACATGCATTATCACTCCCTGTAATTACAATATCATCAACATACACCACAAGCAATGTGACACCTGATTCTGTTTGTTTGTAAAAGACAGAGTGATCTGATTTGCCTTTTATCATTCCAAATTGTTCAATTGATTGACTGAATTTCCCAAACCATGCACGAGGACTCTATTTCAAAGAGCCAAGATCTTTTGTCTGGTATTGACTATGCAGAAAATTCTTAAGGGCCAAAATACATGCATTATCACTCCCTGTAATCACAATATCATCAACATACACCACAAGCAATGTGACACCTGATTCTGTTTGTTTGTAAAAGGCAGAGTGATCTGATTTGCCTCTTATCATTCCAAATTGTTCAATTGATTGACTGAATTTCCCAAACCATGCACGAGGACTCTGTTTCAGACCATAAAGAGATTTGCGAAGTCGACAAACTTTACCATACTCCCCCTGAACAACAAATCCCGGAGGTTGCTCAATATAGACTTCTTCCTTAAGGTCACCATGCAAAAATGCATTTTTAATGTCCAACTGATGTAAGTGCCAATCATGAGTTGCAGCGAGTGAAATAAGTAACCTGACAGATGTTAATTTTTAGCAACAGGAGAAAAAGTGTCAGAATAATCAACACCATAGGTTTGAGCATAACCCTTCTCAACTAATCGGGCTTTCAACCGAGCAACAGATCCGTCTGGGTTAACCTTAACAGCAAAGACCCACTTACATCCAATAGATTTCTTCCGTGTAGGCAAGTCAACCAAATCCCATGTACCATTAAGATCTAAAGCATTCATTTCCTCTACCATGGCATGACGCCATTCAGGATGAGAGAAAGCTTCTTTGATAGATTTGGGAACAGAAATAGAATCAATGGAAGCAATAAAAGAACATGAAGCAGGAGATAACTGATTGTACGACACAAATGAAGAAATATGATGAGTACAAGACCGTGTACCTTTACGTAGTGCTATAGGGAGGTCAAGATCTGATGCGGAGACAAGATCTGAAGATGCAGGTACTGGTTCAGGACATGAGATCGGAGTCGAACTAGTATCAGGATAAGTAATCATAGGTATCGCTGGTGGAGGGTGATCAGGTGCTTTGTGTCGACGGGTGTATACCAAATGTACGGGAGGCCTAGGGTCAGAAACGGTAACTTGTGGAATATTTGTCGAAAGTGTGGACTCAGGAATAGTCATTGTGTAAATGAGTATATCATCATTACTCTCATGAATATCTGCCTTAGATGATGAAAAAGGTGTATTTTCATGAAATGATGCATCAATAGAAACAAGATATCGACCAGTACTCGGACAAAAACATCTATACCCCTTTTGCCCTCGAGAATAACCCAAGAAAATACATTTTAATGATTTGGGATCTAACTTTGTAAGATGAGGATTAACATCTCTAACAAAACAAGTGCAACCAAATATTTTAGGTGGGATAGCAAAAAGCTCTTTGTTTGGAAATGGACAATGATAAGGAGCTTTACCATTCAAAACAGAAGATGGCATTCGATTTATCAAAAAACATGCAGTAGACACAGCATCTGCCCATAACTGTTTAGGCACATTCATTTGGAACAGAAGAGCCCTTGCAGTTTCTAACAGATGTCGGTTCTTTCGTTCTGCAACTCCATTTTGAGGAGGTGTGTCAACGCATGAAGTTTGATGAATAATGCCATGTGGAAGCATAAATGACTTAAATGTAGCAGATAGTTATTCTTGGGCATTGTCTCCTCTTAACACCCGAACAGGAACGTTAAACTGAGTTTTAATTTCAGCACAAAAGGAAGAAAAATGAGTGAACAACTCAGATCGACGTTTCATGAAATACAGCCATGTCATACGGGAATAGTCATCAACAAAGGTAACAAAATATTTAACACCAGCTTTAGACACAATCGGGCAAGCACCCCAAACATCAGAGTGAACAAGGTCAAATGGAGCATTTGCTCGTTTATTAACTCGCGGGCTTAAGCTAGTACGATGGTGTTTCGCAAATTGACATGACTCACATTGTAAAGACGTCATCTTATTAAATTGGGGATTGATTTGCTTCATTAATGGGAGAGATGGATGTCCTAATCGGTAATGAGCATCTAACAATGTCCCAACCCCAAGACAAGAGATACCTTTTGTGATGGATGTATCCAAAATATAAAGACCAGCTGACTCATGTCCTTTACCAATAATCTGCTTCGTTAACAGATCCTGAAACACACAATATCCAGGAAAAAATGTTACAGAACAATTAAGAGTACGAGTGATTTTACTGATGGAAAGCAGATTAAATGCAAAATTAGGAAGACTCAAAACAGACGATAATGGTAATGTAGAAGTTGGAACAACAGTACCAGATCCAAGAACGGGTGAGGTAGATCCATCAGCTAAAGTGACACTAGAAGTAGGTAAATATGAATGAAATGACGAGAATAGACTAGGATTACCGGTCATATGGTCTGTGACACCTGAGTCAATGACCCATTTCGAAGAAGATGAAACAAGACATGTGTTTGAGATACCTGAATTGGCGATTACCGAGGTAGGAGCAAAAGAATGCTTTAGAGATTCTTTGCAACACATAACTTTGGCATCAGATGAGCAGAAGCAGGAGTAGTCGAATTTCCTTGATTTTTGAATGCCAATTTTCTACATTCTTTGATCAAGTGTCCGGGTTTCTTGCAGTAATTGCATATTATTCCTCTGTCAACTTGACCCGTACAAGACATTTTTTTTTGGTTTTTTTTTAATGAGTCAGCAAGTAGATAGAAAAATGAAATGATTAGTGAAAACTTACAGCAACTTCCCCTTTTTTGGACTCAAAATTTCGAAACTAAAATATCCAGCTTGCACTCAAAACTTACGGCGTTGACTCCAGAGTTATGCGAGACCCCAGCACGTGCGAACAACTTAGTGAAGGAGCGGAGCGGATGTCCACAGATATGCGCGACCCCAGCACGACCCCAGCAGATTGCGAACAACTAGACGAAGGAGCGGATGTCCGTCCACAGATATGCGCGACCCCAGCACGTCAGCGACCAGACTTTCTCCCACTGTCTCACAGATATCCGTCCCTTGCTGCCTTGCTGGAGCAAGAACGAGGGACTCAGGCGAGTCTGTGGAAGAATTCCGATCAAGGTTCTGGGAAGTAGGAGGTTCTGGGAAGAGGTTCTGAGATTTGGAGGTTCTGAGAAGCTAAAATTTCTGGGCTGATGTTCTGAATAGAGATTCTGGTTTGAGGGTGTTTAGAGTTTCTTGAAGACAGTGTGGTGCCTGAGGTTCTGAAGATTCTGGACTGAACTCAGGTTCTTGGAGAAATAACCCGGTCTGAAAACTAAATGAGATATGAAAAACTAAACTAAAAAAAATTGAAAACTAAACTGAATTGGATGGCTCTGATACCATGTTGAAATATAAACTAGAATAATATTTAAGATGGAGAGAATGCTTTTCTGTGTATTTCATTGAAGGGTAAAGCCCTATAAATATAGATTACAAAGATAGAATATTCCTATAAAAGATGCTATACAATAATTCTATATATGGTATATTCCTAATATATTCTAAAGCATATTCTAAAGTATATTCTA